TTTTTGGGTGTTAGCAGGAAAGGAGAACACATCATGAATCAAATTCGAACATAATGGAGATTGGAGTAAAAATGTACTATTTGACGGCTTAGGTGTCTGGACACTGGCGCTTAGGCGCCAGAAACCTCTAAATTTGAGCAACAAACCTGAGAGTATGACAATTAGGTGTCAGGCATTGGGTGCCAATGCGCTGTTATGGGCGCTTAGGCGCCACGATATTGGGTGCTTAGGTGCTAGCTAGGCACCCAAAACTGAGAGATGAAGGGGAGGAAACATAAAAGTTGGGGAGATTAATTTCGAGGGGCCTTTTTATTTGTTCTCTTCTGTCATTACAGGGAGAGAAATGTTGGAGAAGAAGACCACACATCTAGCAAAGAGGTTAAGAGTTTGAAAACAAGATCAAAAAGAGCTTGTGTAATTGTGGGATTGTGAGTGTGCTTGTAATTCATTTGCATTTGTTGGATTTAAGGGAGATAAGTATTCTGAGTTTATGTTTGTTCTTCTTTAAGAGACAATTGTGAGACTCGTGTATATGAATTCTACTCTTAATAAAATGTTGAGTAGGTTCTATTCTCCTTTGTTGTGGAAGTGTAGGGATAAGGGCTAAGCATTATGATGTGAATTTTATGTGAAATTTATAAATGGTGTTGGAACAACTTAGGAACTCATAGCTTTTAACCTGACCAACTAATTTGTTAAAATTAATTATGATTATAAAGATTCAAGAGAAATTTATAAAGAACGATTAAGTTATCCACACGAATTCATTGGAATAGAAATATCTCCTTTGAATTCATGCAAATTGATTAGATCGTCAGATTGTCTTGGACTTTTCATTTGATTTAGGGAACAAAACGAATGAACTGTCAATCTTTTTTAGACTACCGAAAGGAGATAAGAAAGATTTTTCTCCTGTTTGACTCCTACAATGAATCGTTTGCTAAGTTGAATCTCTATATAACCACTTCAAAGGAGTATTCTCGGGAAATATCTAATCACCATTATTTTCTTTTTAATTGTTTTAAACTTAGGTTTTGCTCACTTTTAAAAAAATTAGAGCAGGAACTTCCATCAAACTTCAAAACTTCAGCCTTTCAGGCTAGGACTAACAATTATAGGCTAAAACTTTTTCTAATTGAGTTTATTTCGTTCCATGTGAGATCGACAACCGGACTTAAACTTCGATACTACTGATACGCCGCGTGTATTTGTGTGAGCCGCTTGTGCTTCGCAGCACTTGGTGCGTGTCACTTCTCATTCTCAAGTCCTAAGACATTGCAATGCTCGACATTCTGATTATTTTGATTCACTTGTATATTATTAGGTAATGTCGCTTGGGGTCTCTGGTTCAATGAGTTAGTTATTTCCTCAAGTTGTATTTTGATGTTTCTATTAAGTGCATCATGATTTTGTATTTGATTCTCCATGGTTCATACTACTTTCAAGGATAGTTTCTTTTCCTTGAAATTTGGACTAGAAATGAATTCAGGAGGGTAGCTCGGTCTAGGATGGCCATTGCCTTGTTATTCCAATTACCTACAGGGTTACTATCATTTTAATTAAAGTTTGGATGATTTTCTCAACCTAGATTGTAGGTGTTAGAATATGGGTTGTTGAACTTTTCTGTATGGTGTTCAAGATTTTCCAAGAATTGATGCAAACATATTTTATTGCTCCGTAGACTATTTCATTACAAGGTAGTGATCCTTGTAATGTATTAAGGCCTATGTTATTTAATTTCCTAGAAATAACAGTCACTTATAACATTAGAATTGCTACCACATTTATGTCATACACACTAGCTACATTTATGGGATTGATTCAATTTGAAATTCATTGAAAATTATTTGTAGTCATCTCCTTGATCAGTGAATGAGCCTTCTCAAATGACTTTGACACAAATGACCTTCCCACATGCAACATTTATCATTGATCTCAATGAAACCGCCGACTCATTATAAAAAGTCTAAATTATAAGTTAATATGGTAATGCGTGGTGGGGATATTTTTTAAGAAACTTCTGAAATCTCTCTCAATCTTCATAAAATTGATTCTTCATCTAATCGGGTAAAGAGGTGATATCATTCTTAAGTTTTGCAGTTTTGGATGGAGAGATGTATTTGACCAATAATTTTTGGGCTAAATCGTTCAATGTGGTAATTGACCTTGACACTATGGAGTTGAGCCATATTTTGGGTTTATCCTTAAGTGAGAAAGAGAAAAGCCTTAGTCTAATGACGTCATTGAAAACATAATTATACTTAAATATGTGACACAAATTTATAAGAAACTAAGTGGAGGTTGGGGTTTTCTGTGGGCGAGCTCCCAAATTGAATGTTTTGCACCATCTGGATGATAGCTAGTTTCGGTTCAACTGAGACAGCTTCTAAGGTAGGGTTGTTAATACTCAAATAGATTTCTTCTACCAAAGGATTATTATACTCCTTCAGAGGTATGATGCGCTCTTTTTGGGGTGGCTTTGTCATTTTTCCTATTCTTTTTTCAATTTTTTATTTTTTTTATTTTTTTATTTTTACGGATATCTCTAATTCAAGGCCACAAAACACAAGTTCAACTAGTCATGTCCTATAGATACAAGCCTCAAACTAGCAAGAGACCCTAAACTAACTAAAAACAACAAAACACAAATATAATTCACGGAAAATAAAGTAAAACAGAAGTATATGCGAAAAGTAAAGACATGAATAGCAAAGTATTTTTCTATTTTCTAACATAGAAAATTAGCAAACAAGTTGCAAGAAAAAGTATGACAATAATTTTCGAGTCCAAACTCTAACGACTGAACTAAAATCCTAAAATTATAAATTCAACATCGTTACCCAACAAAGATGTCAAAATTTTGATATAACCGAAATGCTATCAAAATTCTGGTGATACACATAAGTATATGTGCCTACCAAATAATATACAAAACTTCGTTCGCGTATAGATTCAACAATGAAAAATTTAACTCTCAAAATATAGCAAAATTATAGTTTATCGATATTGAGTGTAGTCTGAAGATTCAAAATTTTATGATTTTAAAGTTTTTAATCTTAATTTTACAAAAAAAAAAAGTAAAGGGATGATTATATACAGACCATTCAAAACATTAATTTTTACGAATTAGCCACCCCCATTGATTTTTTTGAACTATGGAACCAATATATTTACGTGTGGTACGATAACTATCAAGAATTTGATAAAAATAAAAAAATATGGATTGGTGTTTTACATTGAATTTTGATATTTGAGTGAGAATTTGAAAAATGGATGAAAGAGGGCGGTTGATTTGTAAAGAGCAAGTTTCATTTGGTCTGTATTTAATTGCCTCAAAAGTAAAACACATGTCGAATTTTTAATTTGAATAAGTGATAGAAAATATCTCATGACTTAATCTCATGCAAACCAGATTTATCTTAGTGACTACAATGAAGTTGACAATCATGGATAGTTTTATTAAGCCCCTCTTGATGGTCATAAGAAAATTAGAGTTTTATATTACAGTTAATCTCCTAACTATGTAAAAACCTCAATGTTTGCAAATTTCTCTACACGATCGGACCATTCTAACAAGAATATTCGTATTTCTAGATTAATCTAATTGTTTTACTAGCCTACTCTCTTAGTACTAGATCACAATCCATTTTAACATCTTAAGTGATCAGTTTATGACTAATTATAACCATAATGTTAAACTATCAACTTATAAATAAATTATATGCAATCACCAATTGCATAAAATCTAATTCAAGGCAAAGAGAAGTTTAACTCATACTCATTTCGGTTAAACACAACATAACTTTAATTGCCAAATCAAAGTATGAATAAAGTTAGAACAATCTCACCAATGTTATCCACTGATTCACATGAACTCACAATGAAATTTTGAGTTTTACATGGTTTTGTGTACAAAAATGGATAAACACTCTCATTTACATTTGTTCCCACTTAGGAGAATCCTCTCTTCCCTCGTATTGGTTCGTATTAGACATTTTTATATCTCCTTTGGAGTGAAACAACATGGATTAAGGTGTTTGAACATAAATCCTACTCTTACAAGCGACTAGGCCCCCAAAACCGTTGTCTAGGCCCTCTGGATCCGGGTGTCTCGTCCTCTGGTTCCGGAGACCTAGACACCTGGAACTCACTGCCGGGGTGCCCAAAACTGATGTCTGGGTGCCGGTTCAGCCCATTTTGAGTTTTTTGGCTCTCCAAGATGCCTAATCACATGTACACTGCATATACAACCACATACACCATAAAAAAATACAAAAATGATACAACAAATAATATAAAGATATTTTGCATTTTTTGTTAAATATCATCAAGTTGCAGAATTTCTTAAAATTCTTGAAAGGCCGCATCAAAAGGATCTCCTGGACGGTAATGGCCATTTTATTCGGTCAAAAAATTTGTTAAGCATTTTTTAGTAGAACATATCTTACGTCTTTCCTTTCCAAGAGTGGAAGGGGTGGGATAGTGTAAACAATGACGCATAAAACTTCTGCCTTAGATGAGGGAAATTAAACTCAATTTGTTCTATATGCTTTAAATATTACAAAAGCTTTATGGATTTACACAAAATGTTATTTAAATCCTTTTATTAAAATTTCCGAACACTTTATTGACATTCATCACAACTACATATTTCAACCTGTCTTCATTTGAAAACCAACATTATTCCGTGCAAATGCTCAATGAACCATGCAACATGAGCAATATAATTCTTTTTTGGGAAATATGCTAACAAAAATAAACAAAAATAAGCTATGTAGAGGCTTAATGATGAAAAGGATGGGAATATATTCTGTTCTTGTTGGTATATCTACTTGTTATTTTAGGTATTTGTTTACAGTATTGGATTCTTCATGGTAAAAACATTGGGTGTTAGATATGTAAATACATAAGAGTTGTATGGTATGTATGTAATTTTCTCTTTTTGAATGTATGGTGTTGATTTCTATGCCATCTTTTTCCTAATCAAGAGCTTCTTGCAGTGGAAGAAGAAGCGCATGAGGCGGCTGAAGAGAAAACGTCGAAAGATGCGGCAGAGATCCAAATAGGATTTTATATGATATTCCCTTCAAATGTGGATGATATTAATAATCTCTTTTTGTTGGATCTGTTTCTTTTCTTAACCACTTAGCTTGATGTTTTGAGATCTATGTTATTGTGTGTTTTTTTTATTTGTTTTGTTAACTTCATTAGCTTGTTGATTTGGCTTCCGAGACACTGCTATGTGCCATTTACTGGGTTATTGATGGAAAAATTACTAAGTGATAAACAAATTGATATGAAATCTGATTATAATATCCTTAACTATTCTATAAATTAATCAATTTTTTTGGTTATATTGCGCACAAAAATTTGTTTGAATGTAGTTTGTACCATGTAGAGTGAATGACTTGTTCCACTTCAAGAAAAAAAAAATAAAAAAACCTGAGATTGTATGCAGAAACTTCTCATTTGTAATGAAGTTTTCATGATTGTGCTGTATTGATATTTTCTTTTTTAAGGGTTTAGTCAATCAAAATTTAGATTTATGTGAAAAATCTGTAATTGTTTAATATGATTAAATTTAACACACACAGGGTATTTGAGCTCTTTTAATTCATTTACCAAAACTTAGAGCAATGTTGGAATCACTTATATAAATATATATACACACACTAATTTAGAGTATTTGTGTGATTTTTTTTTGTTTTTAGAAATAATTACTTACTATTTAAAAGAATGTATACATTTTGATAGAGAGCAGAATTTAATTACATATTTTTCAAGTTGTCTGCTAAATGAGAGGCAATTTTGAAGTGAAAAGACAATCCAAACAAGCCAAAAAAAGGCCTGAAACAAAATCATAGATCTGCTAATTTTTAGTCATAATGTAATTGAGATGATACTAAAAACGTATGATTCATTAATTCACAAAAGCTCTTAAAGACAGTTAACAATAAAGCAAATCAACATGAAGACAACAGAAGCACGCAAAGTTATGCATGACATAATTAACAGCACGCATACGAAAAAAAACTGCATTTGGAGCGACGCCGTAGAGAAACCTTATTATGTGATATCTTAGTTGAGCGTAGCTATAGTTTATTAACTTAGTTGACCGTAGATAAACCTTATTTATTTATTTAGTTAATTAACTTAGTCATATGGCCTACTCAGTCTGGTTCAACTGCCTTTAGATTTGTGTTTGGAATCAATTTTTAATATTTTTAATTTTTTAAAATATTTTAATAATTTAAAACTATTTATATTTTTATTGAATATTAAATAAATGGATTTATATGATCATAATCGTGATCACCAACTACGACAAGATAAAAGTAACTTATGGCTACCAAAGATGGTAATATTGCATTAAAAAATATTTGAATAATATCAACGTCAAATAACGAATAATAATTTTCAAACTGTTGACATGTATTTAAATTTTATTTCACTTTTACATCTTTAAAAATTTAAAGACAGCTTTGGATCTTTTTTTTTTTAAAATTTTTATTTTTAAAGTCACATTTATTTAGTGCATTTGTTCACTAATTTTTATTTTTTACTTTATATTTTTTAAAAATTAGGTTATTTCAAAAATAATTGAAATAATTTTCACTTATAAGCTTTTATAAAAATCAACTTTTTATATTTCCAAGCATTCACTTTAATCTCAAATTCAAAGAAACTACTAATTGACGTGCTGACATTGATCATGCAAATGTTGGGAAGAAGAAGGCAACTTTTGAAAAACTAAAAAAAACCAGAACACCATGTTTTGTTAGGTTCAATACAATGAAACATACATGAAAGCTCACTTTTTCCTCTGACCTACACAAACAAATTTTAGGTTTAGAAAAAAAAAGGAGGGGGCAATCAACATTATAAAGAATGCAAATTACTGATCACAGATCACACCAAATGCTTCAACAAACGAAATCGAGAGGATCGGGTTTGGGTGTTCAATGATCAGCGGATAAAGAACAAAACAAATGTGGAAGAAATAAAATTTGATTTTAACAAACTTTGGTTATGGGAGAAAAAAAAACCAGGTCTAGATATTGTAATCAATTTGTACTCTCGGAGGAAGCTGCTTCACGTTCTGTAAGAGCTGATGCAAGCCAGTCCGAAGTGAAAGCCTGGATCTCTGGCTCAACATGCACATTCATGTGTACTGGTGTAACCGCTATCTGTACAGAACCAATGTGAGAAGGGTTGGGAGAAAAGTATAAGATACAAATATATGATAGAACTCGAGAGCTTCGACTTATATACTAAAAATAATATGTATGTTTACAGAAAAAAAAAAAAAAAACATGTTGATGTACTTACATAGCCATTTTCCACAGACATGTTGATGTACTTACATAATGTTGATGTACTTACATAGCCATTTTCCACAGCCCTGAAATCTAGCTCTTCATCTGAATTATCCTGCTCTTTCTGCAAAAACTTTAAACACAACAAAAGGCAATTAAAAAAACCCCTTCAAATTCCAAACAATTATGTCTGAACTTAGACATCTTCTTCGATTGTTTTGTAAAATATACTGATTTGACGTAATTGAGCAAGTTGGTGATAAATATTTGGGATGGTAAAACTTCAAGAAGACCAGCCATATTTGAATAGTATTTTACAAAACAAATTATTTACACAGTGAGATTTGTCTTCAACCCTCAATATCCGTATAGGTAGTTTGATTTCGAGGGCAGGTTAAGCGATGTAGGAACTATAAGAATCTAGGATTTCTGATGTAATGTAAGATGTTGCGCAATGAGAACACGATTCATAAGATAAGATACAAGAAAAAAATCATCAGAAAGCAAGCAGAATCCTTAACATATAAAACTCCTAGCCATTTTGCTTGCATGTTCTACCAAAGTATTGGTACAAATTCTCATATTATCGACGATGCCCTTTGTATGAGCCATTCAATCTCTGACACAACAAACCCGCCGAGTCATTCTAGAACCAAGTCAACCGTTACATTGAAAAGTTTCAAGTAGCCTAGACTATACCCAAAATTTTCATGTCACACAATTATCAAGGATTAAAATTCCATAAGATATAAAAAGAATAATTCATGCAATCCGGAAGAAATTTTTTTAATCCGTAGTTTATTTTCAATGCATGCCTTGAACTCATAAAGCGGCCACCAAAGGAATACCACCAATTTCAATATATGAATTCTCAGGAATCACAACGCAAGCCAAAATAAGCGGCCAAAAAATCTGTCATTAGATGAAAATTTTATCACTGACAACATATCCCAGAACAAATTTAGTATTGATACGCCACCAATAAATTTTCATCATCCGACACAAATCTCAAGGCATGACATAAATCTTGAGACAATATTTTGAGCAAAAAATATTATTCAAATCTTGATATTTGAGCAAAAAATATTCAAATCTTGATAAAAAGTCATCCAGAGCTCCGATTTTAGTAAACTTATAGTAAAATTGGCCGGCTCGATGAGACAGACCTAATGATATCAAAGTTAGTACAATCCGAGTCAACTCAAGCCATATCAAGTGATTTAACCATTTTTGAAAGATTTTTGGACGTATTTGGAATGTCAAACGAATGTCGAATCTGGCAAGTTCATAGTCGAATTGAGTATCTCGACAAGACAAATCCAAAGAGCCCAATAGTGCTTAATTGCGACATCACTAAGGCACTCATATTTCCACAAATATCATCCGATTGAGGGAAGATCTTCGGACCATCTGATCAAAATAGTTCACATTCTTGTATTAATTGTACCCAAAATACTATAAATAGAGTCTCATCCCTCACATGAGGGGGGACTTTAAGCTTCAGAAAGAACTGAAAACTCAGAAAATAAGCTGAAGTCCAACACCATCCTGACTACCGTTGACCATCGTCGATCGCAGTCGGCCACTGTCAATCACCACCAACTAGTGGACTGTAGTCGACACCAGCCGATCATCGTCAGCCACTGTTGACTGTCAACGTCGATCACCACCAACCAGACGTCGTCCGTCGATACTGTAATCTGAAAAATATAATTACCCTTTCTCGTTCTTTGTAATCATCAACTAATAATGGACTTTTACAATTGAGCCAGGCCCTGTGACATTTTTCCTTTATGAGTTTTCACGTAAAAAATTATGGTGTCATTACTGGTTGTTTTCTTTTACCTGATGTCAGTCGTTTTTTAACTTCGTGATTTGAAAAAAAAGTTGTGATTTTGTGATTTTTTTTAAAAAAAATTTAAATATGAATATAATCCTTTTGATTTTTAAAAGTAACATTTTAATTTTAAAATATGTGAGACTAAACGGGTCTCACGAGACCAATAGTTTAGATGATTGAATACAATACTACAAGTAATACACTTATCTCGAAGAATAAATATATCATTTGTAATAGGGATTCAATCAACTAGTTTGTAATAGGGATTCATGTAATAGGGATTCAATCAACTAGACTAAAGAATTTGTGACATCCGTTTGGTCAGCGAAATTGTTTTATTTGCCGACAAGTTTCCCTACCTAATACGAGGATTAGATAGGATTTATTTTATCTGGGTTTCAGGTTATCTATAGAGACAAGCTCCTATAGTTAATTATATCTTAAATGACTGTGGGTCACTTAAGAAAACTCTCGATTAAGATCACGTGATTTTGCCTTCAAGATTTCAAAGTTTAGGTTTTCACGATTGGACATGGGAAAATCAAATAGGAATTGCTCAAAATAGAAACAATTATTTAAGAAATTTAAAGAGAAGAAAAGTAGTAAATAGCACAGATCTGGGGAAAACCCGGTGAACTCCCAACTATCTTATTAATTGGTTTTATGTCTTTTAAAGTGATTTAATTTGATATTTCAATCCTGCAAATTATTTATGATTTAGGGTTTATGTTTACACAATATCAAACTGTGCAAATAGCCTAAAAAGATAGGAGGATTTACACCGTACTACACGGTAAGCTCAGAATCCTAAAGTTTTAGGACTTATAATTGCACAACAGAGTTGTGCCAGAGTTGTGCAAAAACAGAGTTGTGCAAAAAGCCTAAAGGGTGATCCTATGGGTTGTTATTTAAACTAAATAAAGTGTATAGGTGATTTTATGTGATTTGTTTTGATGTTTTGCTGTTGCAGATCCACCTTGAAGTTGTTCCTCGTCGTGATGTCCACGATGTTCGCTCCAAACTCCTCGTAGCAACACCTCCTGGTTTAGTTTTAGTTTTGAAAATGCACCTAATCACTAGATTATCCTAATCTAAGGCATAGTGTATATCAAAATAACTAAACATGCAGTATAAAGAAAAGAATAGTATAGTGTATAATAGAAAGAAAAGACAGTATATCATGCTGAGAAAATAGTATAACATGCTATGAGAACAATATAACATGTTGGGAAAATAAAATGTTGTAATATAAATTAAACTATAAATTAGTTGTAATATAAATTAAACTTGTACACCTGAGAGGTTCATTGCTCCTTTAAGTTTAGCTATTATGGGTTGTGTGAAAGGAGAAACCATGACTTGAAAAGCTTGAGAAAACAGGTAAATCGTAGGAAAAAGACGAACAAATAAAACAAAATGCAATATCACATATAAAGAACCAAGAATATGAAATTTATATGTGATATTGAGAATGTCCCCAATTGCCAAAAGAATCTGAGTGTAAGGCTCAAGCACAAATCCCGGAGCATTGAGTTTCAATTTTGGTCAAGTTAAGGCAAAAATTTTATTATTTGATTTAATTAAATCAGTCATGAATCACAATCTAGTGCATCCTCGTGTCTAGTGTCCTAATTATCTCACAAACTGGGGTCAGATGTTTGGCTTCTTAGGTTTATTTAAAAATTAGGATGATAAACTCTCTCTTAAGGTGTGCTCCTAAGACCCAGGAAGCCTACACTTTAGTTTAAACTTGAAGTGTCTTAAAGTGTCTAACTTCAACTAAGTGTCTTTCAACTAACCCTCAAACCTCTTTAGATTAAGCTTAGCTCACCATCAAGCTCCTAAAACCTAGGGGGTAAACCTATAGTTTTGGCAAAAGAGTTGTGAAGTGTGCTTCAAACCTAGTTAGAGCAATTGGATTTAAGTTTATTCAAAGCTTAAGGGACCTAAGTGCAAGTCTACTAATATTTCCAATCCATGTCCCTAATCGTAATCTAAGCTCTCATTTTCTTCCAAGCGCCAACTATTCCCCCAATTTACAATTCCATCTTTCATATGCAAAAGGAATGGTAGATGGTTCGCTATTTTATCCCTTCTTTAGGTTTCATTATCTCGAGAATCCAAATTCTATTTTTAATTTTCTCTCTCTTTCTCTTTCTCTCATATTTCTCTTAAGACTATGAATCATTTCTGAATATAATTAAATCGGAAATTCACATTTTTAACTTCTTGACCCGTTAAAAAAGAGGAAAACAAAACGAACGAAAAGGTGACCGATCTATTTTTTAAAACCAAGCCAAATCAGTGAAGCTTAAAATAAAATCATGAATGTATCGGTCTAAAACGTTTAAATTCAAAAGAAAATGATCGGATCAATCCCGAGAAGGATAGTCTTTCTAAATGTCAATCTTGCGTATTTCCAAACCCCTCATGAATTCAATTTATATCAAGTTTATATTTTCTTCAAATGAAATTATACAAACTCTTTTACATTTCACAAAAGAAGAGACATTAATTAATGGAAGAAATAATTCTCTAGCCTTCTAGAAAAACACACCAATGTCAAAAAATAATTTAATCTCATCATTCATCAAAAGTTTATAATGAGATATAAATCCAACATGGTGTAAAAAAAAATCAAATATATGCTCTCGAGTAAGACCAGGAGGGAGACTCCAACATCATAATAGACCCACGGGTAAGGGCCAAAAGGAAGGCCCGAAAGGCAGCAACACCAAGCAATACCCAAGATCAAAGCAATAGGTATCATCTCTTATTATTTAAGCTTGAATCAAACATAAAAGAGCCATAGAGAAAGCTCATGACCAGGCTAAAATAAGGAACAAATTAAATTCCAGCCAACCTCAACATTAATCACAACATGTAGAGGTCACGAGTAAAGGGTAACAAGAAGAAAACCGTAAAAGCAACACACCAATTAAGGCTCACAAGTAGAGCCGAAAATAGGAGTAAAATAACCATCAAACCAGCCCTTAGCAAGCTCCAAATTGAGCCAAAAAAAAAAAAAAAAAAAAAAAAAAAAACCACAATTCAACCCCCCAGCAAATATTCTGATGAGGGGCGGCAAGAGGAAATAAAACATAAGCCCAAATGTATCTTTCAACACATAAAGAGTCATTTCCAGCAGATATTCTGATGAGGGGCGGCAAGAGGAAATAAAACATAAGCCCAAATGTATCTTTCAACACATAAAGAGTCATTTCCAGCAGATATTCTGATGAGGGGCGGCAAGAGGAAATAAAACATAAGCCCAAATGTATCTTTCAGCACAT